GTTCACACTGAAATATGACCATCACACTGGCTTTGAACATCCTAGATTCTGATCAAGACCATGCGCGGACCACTTTAAAATGGGGAGCGCCATCAATTTGCGACAAAATTTGCCGACGGACCGTCTGCGAATTTCATGAGTGCAGTGGTAGTCCGACCCCCCCGTCCTTTCCCTTTCCTTCTCCATTCATGCCGACAATACCACGATTTTACTGAAAATGAATGACTGGAGGACTGTGAACGCTACATCTCTCTTCAATATTGCAATGCCCATGATCTGGAGTTACAAACCCTAACCAATGGGCCACACTTCCCCTCTTGTTTTTCAAGTTCTGCTTCGCCGTCAGTAAAACGTACAGGGCGTCCCTTTACAACTGTAGCGGCATCAAAAATTAAAGGCTGTGCACGGAATAGGCTAAACCGAGAGATGGTTTGCGGGTAGACCACGTGGAATCAATCTCTTTCATAACAGTGGTGGTTCTGAAAAGAACCGGTGAGTTTGGACTCGACGGTACTCTCCTGAGGACGACGCCACCAGAGCATCCTGGTCGAAATGTGGAGTTCACACTCACCGATCCTTCTCAGAACCACCACTCCTATGGAAGAGATAGGTGCACACAGTGTTCACACAAACCATCTCTCTGAAAAGAGTAAGTCATGCAGTCTTAGCAACTGTTGAATAAGACTAACATGTGTCACTGAAGTTTCAACGAATCGGTTCATTTCAATTATTAAGAAAGACAGGAAAGACAGTACTGAGATTCCATGCCTTGATCTGCAGTTTCCGGAGTGAAAGTGGGCCGTTCCGCCTCTACGTCTTGCGTCCGGCCGGCACGCCAGGCGTTCTGCACCGACTCGTTCACCATCTTCGTCCAGCGCGATTTGACCGAGTCCACCGTGAAGAATACCCGTAGGAACTCTTCCGGCGTCCGCACGCGGGTCATCTTGCGAGCAATCTCCACTTTGTATTCCTAAGAGGAAAAGGTTTAGTGGTCAGTGCATGAGTGCTGCAACAAAATGACCTCCTATACCGAACAAAAAGACACCAAGGGTTTTTGTTTTCACCGACCTAACGTGATCATTACCAAAATCAGGGATGAGACTGTGGGAAAATGAAATATACATAGGTTTTGAGGGCCCCGCAGCACAGTTGGGTCGAGGATATACCTTTGGTTTGCCTAAAAGCATTCCTTAAAATACTCATTTCTTATGTTCTATCACAACTTTTATCCTTTTTTTTAACATACCTCGTTGTTAAATTCACGATTTTCCAGATTAAAAAGACAGATTTGTGTCAAAATCCTGAAATTTACAAAATCCTGATGGAAAATCGCGGCAGATATCACCCTGTAAAATAACACCCCATTCCAAAATAAAACTAAACGAAGCAAAAGGCAAACAAAGAAAACGAAGAGGATAAATGAAAAATTGTATCTCTCGCGGAATGACTGCAATTGGAGACCTATCTTCTCAAGCTGTTGGTTATTTTTATACCAGTTTTTTAGGCTATTCACCTTTAACCCCCTTCAGCAAAAGAATGCAAGAATTTGCTGCAACGCCTTTTTCAAATAGCGTGCCACCCGTGCGTATTAACCTACATCCCCTTATACTCGCGTGCCTCTTGAGGAATTAGGGATTCTGGAGCTGCAAAGATGCAAAGTGGGGTTTTAACAGTACATCTACGCGGCATTCCTGCGTTTAATTTATTGACAGGAATTCTTCCTTTGGAGTAAATCTACTCAAGTGCCCCTCTCAAGTTGTGACTTGGCGCCGATCTCAACAATTTGAAAAATGTGATTTTTTTTATTCTACCATTCCGAGCTACTCTGATGAACAAGGCTTATTGAAAATACCAGTGCAAAGCAAGCGTCTGCAAGGGCAACCCCCCATGAAACATTTAGTAGACTCTAACGAAAGTGCAAACAAACAATCCCAAGGAAAATTCGCGTTTACTGAATTTAATGTTGAGTTAATGTTGAGGAGCACCTAGAAGCAAAAGGGTCAAACGAATATAGGTTGGTCACGTGTGGCCCGCACATGCACACTCCATGAACCAACGCGTGCAGTCAGTGAGCGTAACTGTCCCGGCTGGTCTTTGTGAAAGGAAGTGCAATTACCATGTTGAACAAATTCTGTCTGTAACAGGTGGGGGACCTTTCAGACAAAGAATTGTATCAATTTGTCAGTTGAATTTCTTACTCTCCAAAGTGATGGTAATGTTGTTCTCTTTAATATACATGTATTTGTATCTCTGTATAGATATACACTAAGTACCTAACGCGACCGTTCCAAAACCTGGCTGAAGGCTTCCAAGCTGTTATTCAGAAAATGACACCAGTCTCCACAGTGCAAATTGCACAAATTTCACTGCCTTTAACTACAAAAGCCGTCTGCCGACAAAACTTGCACTGTGGATTACTGTTACAAGTGAAACTTAACAGCGGATGGGAGAAACTGTAAAACGCTGAATTTACCTGCTCCAGCCTTTTTTTTCGTACACCGTGGGTGCAGTATTTACAAAATGTCGTCCAGACGATGTAAGGGGCTTTCACCAAGTTACACATTGTAAATGGATGATTATGTGCACTGTAGAAACCAAAATCAGAAATGTTAACTTATTCCTTTCCCACTTCCTGATCATCAAACCAGTTGAAAATTACGGCAACGAGCCTTCGCGTGTTGTTGGATTTCCCTGTGCAGAACGGAAGTTGTCTCGGGTGAAGTACGCCGCTCTAAACAATCATTATAACGATGAACCTTGTGTGGCCTTAGTGAACAATGAACCGATTGACCTTGTCATGTGAACCCAAAAAGAAAAAAAAACGTTATACTTAACAGGATATGAATTCTGATAGATTCACGAGCGCTCAGCTATTTGCAGGATTATAATCAGAAATTTGAAGCTTGAAGAACATCTTCTTCCAACCCTTTTGGTGGGTAACTTTCAAATTACCTTTGAGTTTGGTCTTTAAACAAGTCGCTGTTCTGGGCGTCTTGGAAGAGAAAGCTTGCGGGAAGACATGTGTCAACACCGAGAACGATTAAACGGTTGTTTCTGGGAAATGGTCGCACTTCGTGTAAACGTACGCGGCTGGTCTGCAAATACAATTTTACACCGCGGGTCGAAACGGCAGCGACTTTTATAACTTTAGTTTCGCTAACGCGGTGACTCACTGTGGCATGAGCAATTGTGAACGAAACTAGCATAATTCAATGTTTCCGTGAAATATCGTGTCTTCTCTGGCAAAAAAAAATGCGTCAGTCGTAAAATCTATAGCGACTGGCACCAGTCCAAAAATAATACTCCCCCGACAAACACACACTCGGCAACTACACTGAATAAAAAGGAAGCAACCAAACTAACCAAAATATACTTCACCATCTGCATGTGTTTAAAGTCATTCAAAATCAACTTACGGGACATGAAGGTCACGCTTGTGTACAAAACTGCTTTTGAGGCTTTTTGGTTTTTCTGCATATGTTGAAGAATGGGTTTTCTTGGTAAGTACGAGTCTGAAATTCTCATGATTCCTTCGCGCTTGGATAAGTATCGTTATCGTTAACCATTTCCCGTGATCCATCGTATAACCAAACATCTCTATAAAAGTTAATCAGCACAAATTGACGGAAGCAGGTTATACTTGCTGGGAATTTCTTGATTACGGTGGCCTATAATTTACACCAACTGAATTTAAACCCAAACGACTCTTTTCAGTACCAGGGTGCAGTCTCGTTTATATATACACATGCTTGTTTTAATGTTGGTTTGATGCTTATTCAAAGACGGTCAACTACGCTCCAGTTAACTAATGTCTTTGCCTATCATCTATGCAATATCCAATCATGAATTCATCAAGTGACTTGTCATGCTTGTACGGCGATTTCAAAGGCCAAGATCGGACTAGTTGAGCTGCTTGAACTTTTCTCAGTGAAACTGTGCAATAACAAAGACAACTTTTGGCTGTACACGAAAGGACTGCATAAACCCCTCAAGCTGTAGCGTGGCAGATGTTGGGGGATTTCCTAAGCTGTCGAATTGAATTTCCCCTCACGCCCATTGGAACTGTTGCTTCATGCCTCACTCCAAGTGTTAACTGACCGAAACAGATGGCAGATGTAAATCCACGAATTGGACGATTTAATTCCTATCCTCACAGATACTTTTTTGTCACCGTAAGGGTTTAATACAAGACAAACAATGTCTTAAGGAAGCGTCAAGGAACAGCTACACGCATGATTTGGTATGTGAGCCCTGTAACCACCGAGCGCCCGTCCTTTAACTACGATTTTAATTTGTCCACCGGCAGGAACAACTATGCATTCTCCTTTTTCACTTTTGTGCGGTTGATCGTCCCGTCGTGGATTCTGCCAGCTCTGATCGATTGATGAACTGTTCATTAATTTATCGGTAAATTGCTCTGTCGGAGTGTAGATCCACATACTAATGATCTAGTTGAAAAACTTTTGATTCGAGTCTTATCATTCCAGCATTTATCATTGACAGATTCAAGTTACAAACTTCCAACCAGTTGAGATATCTTGAAGGTTATAGAAGGTTGCCAACTACATTACCGACGCGTACAGGTACCATGGGGGTTTTGAGACAGCCATACCCTGTTAGTAATGCACTCATGATTGAGGTTCACTTGTTCCACGCTTGTTCCCTGTAAAGGTCGCATAACACAACAGGCCCCATGGGTCTTGTTCTAGTCCTGATGTCTGTAAACTCATGTGCCATACATGCTGTACATTATCAAACGCACGATAGACCTACCGCCAAGTTCTTGATGATTTCCGTTGACATCGGCGAACCCATCCTCCGCCGATGACTTCGCCTGCTGCTCTCCACCGTGGTCGACGTCTCGGCGCGGATCCGAGTGCTCCCACGACCCATTTCTGGCTTAGCTCTCGGTTTGGCGAAGGCAATTGCCGCATGTACCCCGAGAAGGATCAGTAGCAGGCGGCAGTACGTCACGGAGCTGGAGGCGTCCATCATGGGTCCGCTGTCGTGTTTGGTGAGCGTTTATTGTTTACGCTTTTATGGCAGTTGTGGAATTCAAATTGCTTGGCATTAGAACACGCGGTGACACAGGATCTCTGCGAATGTGAATGCACGGCCGTCAGTGGTCATGAAACATGGCTGACTTTCGTCCGTGGCCCCACCGATTTTTTTTGTTTTCGATATCTTGTCTGGGCTCAGTGGATTTAATTTATATGGTTGTGCAGATCGAGGCAAGTGCAGGACCAGGACTCGCGGGGCTGTAGCTGGGCCGTCCTCCTGTGCCTGTGCTCACCACCAACGGAATACAACGGGGTCACCAACTTCCGACTGCGACCTGCCCTCCACCACTTGATATCAGCTGGAATGTTTTGATTTAGACGATTATGATTGGCAACGAGGTTGGGTAATTGCTGCGCGCACTTGACACAACTTGCGAGTTAAGTTTTCGACGCGCGCTCTGGCTGGCGCAGTGATCATGGTATTACCGAGAACAGCTGTTGGTGTGAGTCACGACCTGACGTCGTCTATAATTAGACAAAGTAGTTATCGCCTGTCGCCATTCCAAGTTTACCTGCTGGACATACTAAGTGGCGTAACTACTGGGGGGAGGCACAGGGAGTACTCCCCCAGCGGATGCCCGACCCCCTCCCCAACTCCGCGGGCCCCCATTTAAAATCTGTGAATAATTTTCGTTGAAATGCAACTGAAGCTTATTTTCCCGCGACGCCCCTTGACATAATAACATGCACTCCTGGGTGCCCCCGCACATTTTAACCCCACTTAAGGCACTGGACTTACTACATACAGAGGGCTAGAATTCACCGCAAGTTGAGGCATCGTCATCGCCATCATGCGGTGTACCACATAACCACAGTCTTGACAGCGTTTACTTTATTTTTGGCTCAATGTTTCTGTACTTATAGGTGAAACCCCTCACTAACATATAATAGATGTAAAGTTTTGTTTTCACAGGACGACCACAACTCTCACTAATAAGCAGAACACGGTCGTGTCATGCTGCTCCGAAGAACTCGCTCATTGTGAAGGCGATTCATACTTTTAAACCGCAGTTGCAGCTATGTCTGAAATATCGTTAATTCTGAAACTCATCAGATTTTCAAGCAAGCAACGTAAACTAAAACAAAAGCTTGTCGATTCCATTACTAGTTTAATTATAGCCAGGCTAAGAGGTTCATGTTACCATATTCCAAAATTTGGAGATTTTCTGTTCGTATAATGTCGATTTGAATGAAGCGTATAAAAACAAGCTTTTTGCTTGAAATCTGGTCCTGAATTCATGAATGCGTAATGTGCATTGTGTTTTGTGGTAATGTCCTGGCAGATTTCGGAAGATTAAAAAACAAAATGTGTTTGGGCGGATCCCAAACCAGCTGCCCCCACGGAAGACCTTTTTAAAATTTTATTTAAGTTTATACCGTGGTTAGGTTTTAGTCAAAACATCCTGCAAAGTAATGAATCTATACTCAGAAATAACCCTTACGTTAATGTTTCTCTGCCGGTTATTTAGTGCGCCTTTGATGTCGAAACGTTTAAATCAGGAAATCTATCACCAACTACCGGTGACACTATGATTTCAACCATGACTCCGCTGCACTGACCCCACAAACCACTTCTTGTTTAAGGCCATTGGTTTACTCTGTAAATGGTGATAAAACAATTAGTACGGCAACACGTCATGTGCATGACAGGGACAATTACCGGGACCTGGTCAAAGAGTTATTTGTTTTGATCATCTATCGGCTATGAGGCGTGTAACAGCGGACATAAACACACTTTTGAGCGAATACAATAGTGTCCCATTGAAAACTACAAAGTGATTATAACGCCCCCAGTGGGAAGTGCGTGGGCAGATAGGCGATGGGCTAAATGATGTTGGCAAGGAGTTTTGTTGCGACCGCCCTCTATCACCCCCTAAACTCGTGTTACCCACGTCCGGCTTAAAAAACCGTGACGAACCATTCAAAAAAGGGAAATTATTCCCTCTAAATGTGGAAGAGTGGATACCACTCTTAAAAAAACCGTGGAAAATGTTCAAAACTGAGTGAAATTTTCACTCATTTAAGGAGCCATATACTTTCATGTATTATATTGACAACTCAAACAAGGGTTTTCTCTCATAATGGCTCCTCTTTCGGAGGCGTTCTCATTCTTTTTAGAATGATTTTCACTCTTTTCCGGTGACTGTTACAAGAGACTCACTCTTTTAGCGTGCTAGTTTTCGTTCTAAAATTGAGAGTGTAAAAGGTTGTCCCTTCACTTTGACTGTAGGGCCTACTCCATCGAACCTGAACATCTCTAAGTTATGCATGTACATTTAGTGAAATAAAAATGTAACTGTTAACTCAATGCTAGGCTAATGGCCAAGTTCGATTGCCTGGTCCGACCATTTGTTGACTGTTATAGGTGTAATGGTCGCTGATCGTACTTAGGTATGGGTATTAACTAGTCGACGTATACTTGGCCCAGAATGAAGTGATTGATCATAAATACAATGTCATGTAACCCAGAAACGGGTGCAGGATCGACCCCACTGCATTTTCTCCGATATCATCGTATTATTGCGCCGAGCCTAGGGGAATTTTTCTGGAAATGTCTTACAATTATTTTGACACCAACTGTATGAAAGTCGGGCATTTCATTCCTGCGAAACGCCTATTTGCAAGACAACTCAGCCGAATAGGCCCTATTCGTGGGGACCCAATATCAGTCATATCCCCCAACATAGTTTCTTTATTTGAAATCGTTAAGTCTAAAGAATCAGACTTTATTATGTGATTTCATTCGTACCCCCCCCCCAAATCACCTGGTACCATCCTATTAAGGGTTTCAAATTTATACTGCACGTTCAGGTTTACGACTGATATTTGGGACACCGCAAATACTGCCTATAGTTTTAACCTCTGCCATTGATGCGCTCAATGCACGCGGACGACACGCGCGTGAGGCCGTGAACAATACAAAAAATCTGCTAGCACAGAAACCTTGTGTCGGATTGAATTGAAATTTCACAAATGAATACTTATAATGAGTGTCTTCACATATTAAGACAGTTGAGATGTTGCCCCCCGCCGGCTGTGCGATGGTCTGAAAAGCTCGAGTCTTTCATCGCTTCATAATACAAAACCATCTCTCAAATTTAATGATTGAAAT